AGGTTGAAATTCTTATTCTCTGTTCCCTGTTCCTTTTATTCTGCGTAGCCCTTAACAGAGGTCAGTAAGCTCTAACATACAGGAACGAACCATCGAGGAGTAGGGATGTCCCAAATCCTAAAGGACACTCGCATAAAGATATACTGCTATCCTTGTCAAGGATTCGCTGATTGGCAAATGCAGTTCTATTACCGTACTGAAAACATAGACTATGCTTACACGTACTGGTAAAACCGTTTTAGTTAAGACACAATGCGAGGGAATAGCGATAGCGATAGAAATAACACAATTTCAACCTATCAGAAACTGTGTATTCCGATATATCCGATTTCTGATAGATTGAAATCGTGTTATTCCTATCGCTATCGCTATTCCCTCGCATTGTGTCTTGGGCTTTAAAACCGGTGTTGGTGCCAGTTTACACGATCAGACATATTTTACCTACCGAACATAAAGTAGCTTTATAAAGCCTTGTGTACACGATGCTAGAAATCGATCTGAGATCTCGGATAGAGAGAAAGTTACTAAAACTCGTGTACACAGGCAACCCGGATAAATATCTCGAACAGAAGTCTCGTAGCCTATGTGTCCACGATGCTAGAAATTGATCCAAGTTCTCGATTATTTTCGATCCAAGAAAATGTTACTAATACTCGAATCGTGGACACAGGCAATTCGGATAAATATCTCGAATAGAAGCCTCGTACAAAAAATGCATCCTGTCCCATTTTTCGTAGCTAGCAGCTAGCTGCTTCATTTTGAAGCGTTTGTAGCATCAAGTGGACCGTTGCCCAGAACGACTTGAGCCTTCGAGCCGGTAGGACGCGTGACGACGAAGCCAATATTTAAAGCAATCCATTACGGTAATGCAAGAATAAATAAAGAAAGAATGTTAAACAAGAATAAATAAATTAAACAGAATTAAATCGATGGATTCTTGTAGGACATAATTAAATCGATGGATTCTTGTAGCAAAATTAAAATTATGGTAATTATACAGAATACCTCCCCCATCTTCGATTTCTATAAAATTAGGCTCATTCGACGCGTTTTTGCATGAAACGAAAGAATCTGGCAGAAATAAGTGTTGCTCTGCCCCGCGAACCGAGATATGTAGCTTAAAATTGACGACTATGGAGGTTAGGAAATCTGTCACGGCCACATTACCGCTATGCGTTTTGTCACTTTTCGATTCAATAGAGTGCACGAACTTTTAAATCAACGCTATAAAATAAATAAAACGTCGAATGAGCCTAATTTTATCGAAATCGGAGGTGGGGGAGGTATTCTGTATAATTACCAAAATTATAAAATGTATAAATGAAAATAATTAAAATATAACAATATATTTCTGCACTAAAAAATATAATTATCAATTTTCAGGAAAATATAGATAGAGATAACGTTCGAACTTTGTTGTTATTGTATCAACAACATCCATGTTTATACATTGTAAAATCTGTGGATTATCATAATCGTATAAAAAGAGAAAAAGCTTTACAAATAATATGGAATCAGTATACAGAGATCACAAAAGAACCAATAACAATAGAAATCGCAAAAAAGAAGATCAACAATTTAAGATCACAATATTTAGATTATCTCAATAAAATTAAACAATCAAAAGCAAGCGGTGCATCAGCTGATGAGATTTATAGACCTACCTGGTGGTTGTATGAGGATATGAAATTTCTTGATCCTTATATTGCACAGAGAAAAGGAGAATCTTCTATAACAGAAAGAGTGAGTAGAAACAAAAAGATACTTGAAAGTTATAAAAATATTATAATTAGATAAATAACAATAGAAAAATAATGGTAATTTATAGTTTTCTAAGGATGAATAAGAATCTTCAACAATGAACAGACTACTAAATGAAGACGATACGGACAGTTTACAACTAATGGATGTATATAATGTTTTAAAAGATCATGATAAAGGTGAGAAAAATAGATTATTATATTTTATAATAGGATATTTTAATATATTTATATCACGCACATGTATATGTGTACGTATATACATATTTATAAGAATTATAAATTTTTTATTTATTTGTAAGAATTATAAATTTTTTATTTATTTATAAGAATTATAAATTTTTTATTTATTTATAATTGAAACAACCTGACTCTGCGCGGACGTAGCTCGTCGGTCACGGGCTGCGG